TTGTTTCTCATGTCTTGGCTCCATGCCCTTTTTGTCTGCAACACACATCTTCACCACCCCCTCTCTTCCCTTGTGTGTGTACATAGTGTACATGCATATATGCACACATCTATGTTGTATATGTATGTTATGTGTGTATATGTACATATATGTGTCTGGTTTTATTTTTGTGTGTGTATGTGTGTGTGGTACTGGGAATTGAACCTGAGGGGTGCTTCAGCTCGAAACTACATCCCCAGCCCTTTTTTATTTTTAAACAGAATCTTGCTGAGTTTGCCTAGGCTGGTCTTGAACTTGTGATCCTCCTGCTTCAGCTTCCTCAGTAGCTGGGATTATAGGCATGGGCTATCACACCTGGCTATACCTGTGTATATTTATGTATGTGTATCACTTCAGCTAATATTAGCTATAATTGTTTGTGCATTATTCTCTTTTAATACACTGTGAGCCAGGTTTCGTATTCATTTTGGTGGCAGGAACACCACATACCATGTCTGGTACTGCCAATCAGTCTCACTCATTGTTAACTGTCTGTATCACCATCATTTTCAACATTGTGAAGGCTTAATAGTTATATTTTGAACATATGAAGAGCTTGGGTTTTATTCCCATGGTTGCCTTACATGAACAGGTGTTAAGCAGGAAAGGATATGGGAATATTCAAACAAGTTTTTAGTTGAAGGATTTCCTAGGCCCCCCACCCCCACCCCCATGTGGGGGATTGAACCCAAGGCCTTCTCACTGAGCTACATACTCATCCCTTCTCTCATTTTTTATTTTGAGACAGGGTGTTGCTAAGTTGTCCAGGCTGGGCTTGAACACGTGATCCTCCTGCCTCAACCTCCCAGAGTGCTGGGGTCACAGGTGTGCATCACCACACCCTGCTCTAGATTCTTTATTGTATAATGTAGGAGGCTACAGAATGTAGCATTTCCCAGCTTTGCTTCTGCACTTCTTTTTTCATGGCATAACCCACATGATTAGGGACCTCAGAATTTTCTTTGGAAAACAATTCTGTCTCTTGGCCTTTCCATTTTAACAGATGAGGAAATTGTCTGTGTTCATTCTTCTATAAATTTATACCTCAAATATTTGATGAATACTACTTAAGGTTAAATACTGCTAGGTATCTAACCTAGATAGACAAGTGGAAAGAAACCGACTTGAAAATTGTTACTATTTTGTTTATGTTAAGTGGGAGATATAGTACCAGCATTTATCAACTAATTATTGGAATTAGAAGTTATGAGAATGGTTTGTAGGAAGATGAAGAGTGCTAAATCATTTATGTTTTGGTGTGCACATTTTGAAAGCTCTGCCAGGCCCATTTAGGTCTTCCTCTCAGTACTACTGCTGGCATTCCTGTGATGCAGATGGCTGATGCTGAAGAATGTCAGCCACTTGCCCACCTGTGTCATACTAGAGTGTAGCATGTTGAAGATAGCTTTTAAAATGTGAGACAGCTTCCACTTAGCACCTGACACATAGCAGGTGCTGTATCTGTTGATGGGCCAAATACAGAGTACCTAAATGTGCTTAGAAAGATCTGGGGCTGAAGGACATACCCTATACTACTGTGGTCTCATCACCCAGCACCTTCACTTCCTGTGCTGTCTTGGGTGGACTCAAACCATATGACATGCATTATATGTTCCTCTCTTCTGACCTATCCCCATGTTGGAGAGAATCATTGACTCTTCTCTTTCCTTCTATGCAAAGCAAAATGCAAAACAAAAACATATCCTACTGTCTGTTTTGGTCTAATACTGCCCACACATTGGTGAAAATGTTAATAGAGTACACTATTTATATGAACATGTCTAATCAAAGGATGTGATGTTGATACAGTAAAATTGACCTTTGGTCTTATGACCTATGATTGGATAGATGATCGTAGGAGACTTTGGGAACAGATTATCTTTGGAGTCAAGACTTTTGTAAGAAGATTAGGCTAGTCTTTAATTTGATATTTCATTCTGTGAAGTCACCTACAAAGAAATCAAGCAGTTACATGTTTATTAACTGATGCTTTTGCTTCTTGATGTGTGGCCACAGACTTTAGGCTGGATAAACTCTAGGAAGCGTAAAAATCTTCCATTCCCCTTGCCTGTGTGTGGATAGATATGCAGGAAAACATTGACCATCTCAGGTTATCTTTTTGCTGAAGCCTGAAACTTCTTCAGCCACATCATGCTCCTGTCAAGAGTCTGAAAACTAATAGACTTTCAAGAGACCAAGGGTTGAGTTGGAGACACTTAGAGAATGGCATGCAACTGGGTTGCTGTTTTTTCCAGGTGTTGTTCTGAGATTGAATTAAGACAATTATCAGGGAGTTTTGGACCTCTTGATTCCAATCTTTGTGTTTCAGTCAGAGTTGCAGCAAATCATGAATTGCTAATTTTTAAACTTTCTTTTCTTTGAAAAATAATTCACACTAATTATAGAAATTTGGAAAAATATCAAAAGGCATAATGCTGAAAATTACTCATAATTCTACTACTCAGAAATAATCACTACAAACATTTTGTTCTATTTGTATGTATTTTATGCATAATTAAGAGCATTGTGTATAAATTTTGACTCTACTTTTTCCATTTAACTTATGAATACTTTCTCCTGCATTGAAATCAGCACAGTACAAGGGCTTGAATGACTTTCCTGCAGCTGCTATAACAAATTTCTGTGAACTAAGCTTAACCACTTAGCAGTCCAATTATTTAAACACAAGATGATGAAAAATTGCATATTTATCATTAATTTTATAAGATAATATAACAAGGAATATAAAAACAACAATTTTATCAAATTTATTTAATACAAGAGTTGACTGGTTGAAATGACAGCTGCCTGAGTGATGCTTGAGTAACTGCCTGAGTAACTGTTAAGTGGTTAAAGCAATAGAAATTTATTCCATTACAAATCCAGAGGCCAGAAGTCTAAAATCAAGGTGCGGGCCTGACTGTACTCTCCTGAGTTCAGAGGATCTAGGGGAGAATTTTTCCATGCTTTCCCAAATTATGGTAGCTGTTGGCATTCCGAAGCATGGGCACCACCACTCCAGTCTCTTCTCTGTGTTCACATTGCTTTCTTGTGTGTGTGGGCCCACTAAGGTAATCAAGGCTGTCTCTCCATCTCAAGCATATTAACGTGGCTGGGTATCCCTATCATATTGCTATAAAATTTTCCAGGTGTTTACTCTAAATTTTTGTCCTTGTCATGAACTGTCAACAAAGAGTTGGTGGATACCATTGATTTGAGACCACCCTTTGATTCAGTTTAGTCTCCCTTCCTTGTTTTATGGCTGAGGAAACTGAGACCCAGAGAAAGGCAGTAGTATGCTGGGATCAGAGCAACAGGTGCCTCTGCTACTGGAAATGGATAGACAAGGCTAGATCTGGAGTGAGCAGATAGCAAAGGTGCTGTTGGGGTTGTTCTGCAGGCCGGCTGGCATCCCTGTCACTGTTCTCTATCTGCTAAGTGAAAGTTGAAGCTCCAGCAAGCTCCTGGAGCAACAGACTGCTCAGGATGCCCAGAAACCAGGGCAAATTTTTAGAGCCATTGCCACAGTTAGCAAACCAACACAGCAGGCAAAGGATTCTGCTAAGGGTGGACATCCCTGGCAGCTTACTGTCGACTTAACTTTCATCCCACTGCTTCTGTCTTTGTGGTTTGGATCAGATCTCTCCAGAACCCAGTTTTAACTGTCTATATTTTCTGAATAATAATTATCTCTTAGGGGATAGGACTAGATTACCTATAGTCATCTTGATTCATACACTGCTCAGTAAGGTCCGAGCTCCTCAGCTTGGTATTCATGGCCTTGGAAGAACTGACTCTCTTCTTCCCAGCTTTGCCTCCCAGCCCTCACTTTCACCTACCTTAATCTCTGAGCTGCACCAGAATCACTGCTTCCTAGAAGAGGGGCTGGAGGAGGTTAGATTTTTGAAACCCTACAGTAAGTGAGTTCATGATTGACCAACCCAAGAATTAATGGGGAAATATGGTGAAGTGATAGAGGTTGGCTATATATGTTTGAAGTTTTCAGTGTGGGGGAGTGTTTATCTTTATTAAAATAAAACATAAAAGCAGCATAGCCAGTACCAATCACCAATACGAAGCTGGGTCATCCAGCCCAGTTGAGCTGCCAAATGACTCTAGCCATGTAAACAAACCCAGCAAGAACAGAAGAAAAACTGCCCGACCAAGCTGCCACTAACTTCCCTACTTAATCAAGGGTAAGTGAAGTGTTTATTCTTTAAGACAGTGAAAAAAGGAAGAAAGAAAAGACAGCACAGTAAGCCAAGACTTATCTTTGTGTTATTCCACTACTCAGTTATTCTTTGCTTACTGTAGACTTTTCAGATTCTACCTTGGTATTTTCAATGAAATTCTTTGCTTTGTTACAGATAAGCCTCACATTATGAGCATACTCCCAACCCTGGGATCTGGGTCTCCATTTTAATATTTAATGCCACTGGGATTTTATGAAATAGTTTGTTGGGTCTTCACTCTTACTCTCACTCAACTCTTCTTTTTTCTCAGTGTTATGGGACAGTAGTTCAGACCATGGCACTTTCTCTCATCTTTTATTTTTCCCAAGGCTTATTTCAGAAGCCTCTATTCCTTCACTCTCTACTTCTGTTTCTTTTATTAGACCCATCCCTGGATCTTTCATTTTAAATCCGTGATTATTGGTTGTAGGAAACTGAAATGCTTTCATATCAGTTTAAAATCTCAGGAATACAGGAGCAGCGCTTGCTCAGCCTGCTGGGAACCAGAGTGGGCAGGCCCGCTAACTCAGGGCTAACTTGGCTGCAGCGTGTCTGCTTCTGTCTGTCTGGCGCTGACCTGGGGGACCAGTGCACTTTCCCCACCCCTAAGTTGGGGGAAGGGAGCCAGGTGACCTCCACAAAGGCAAGAGTCCCAAGAAAAGGGGTGTTTGGAAGGGTAGCCCACGTTGCCAGGTATCTATTATACCTCTTCTTCTAATTTCTCAACAGGAATAACTCAAGTCACCTTTATTGGAAATAAATTTGCTGAAATTATTGAAACAGCGGTTCTTGAATTTGAAGAAAAGGTAAAAATTCTCTTATAATGGAAACTCATATTGCGGAGGGATTACTGTCCCTATCATTCTTCAGTCATGCCTAGTTTATTTATGCAATTTACATAATATTTTACCCTCTGCCTGGCCAAGTTTTCCTGTTCATCCCCTGAGGCCTTTGTCAAACGCCTCCCCAACTTGCCCTTGCCCGCTCAGCTATGTCTGGTGTTAAATGGGGTTGGCACAAAGAGCAGTTTGTGGGTAGGACTTTGGTCTCCCTGATTGTGTCCTCTTCAGAACCCATCTTCCTTCCTTGTGAGCAACCAGGCTGCTTCAAGCAGTGAAGAGCTGCATCTTACTCCACCTCCCTGCCACCAACCTTTTTGCTATAAATGAAGTAATCAGTAGGTCACTTTTCTCAAAGTGTTTATGCACATGTCATGTTTCCCCAGGAACTCATTTCACCAGTTATCTTTTGCCACAGCCCTTCCCATTCAGCAGTAACCCACTTGTCTGTTATATTTGTAGAGTGCCTTCCTTTTTGCAGGGTACTAATGCACACATCACCAGATTTCCTTTACCCACCAATCTTGAGAAGCAGGGCTGAGCCAAGTGATAACTTTCCATTTTCAGAAACAAGCTCAGAGGTTGAGAGTTTTGCTTAAGGTCACTACCAGTGTGAACAGAATGTGTTTTTTTTCCCACCCCCCGCAACGTGGTCCTTCTCTTTGGGCAAACTGCTGGTCCCCCAAACCTGGGTGCCCCGTCTCTTACTGGTCCCCATGTTTCTTTCAGAGAAGAGGGTCTTGATCTTCTTTTGAGACATGCAGTCTGACCCTGGTATCTTCCCCATCTCCAGCCAGGCAGCTTTCTTATAAAAGCAGGTGTCTTCCTGAGATCTTCCAGCCAGGTTTTTAAAATTAATTTTATTGGTATATTTAAGATATACAATATAATGACATTCATCATTGGAAATTTGCACCTTTACATAATCCATCTTGGTACTTATTTTTTCTCAATTCTGCTGCCCTCCCTTCAACCTCTCCACCCCTCCCTATCTACAAAGACTTTGTTTCCATTTTTTCTTTTTCTCCTATTAATTCCATTCCTTCCTTTCTTTTCCTCTACCCCTCCTACTTCTCCTTCCTCTTTGCACTTTTTCTTCCTATTTCACATTATCTATTATACCTTTTACTCCTTATTTACACTTTCAGTTTCTCACACTAGAGAAACTATTCAGTATTTACATATGTATGTCCTATTTATTTCACTTAAGAGTCTTGCCTCAATGTGCATCCATTTAGCTATAAATATCTCTAGTTTCTTGTTCATTATGGCTGAGTAATACTCCATTTTATTAAAAAAAGCCCCACATTTTCTTTATCCAGTCTCCAGTTGATGGACAATTGGGTTGTTTCCAAGTTTTAGCTATCGTGAGTTGTGGTGCTATGAACATGGGTGCACATATATCACTGTGGTACGATTCTTTTAATTC